TCACTGATAACTTTTTGCACCTCTTCGGTTTTTCTATTCTTGGTTCCAAACATCAGATGGTGTGGGCCTCAGGGCAGTGAGTGGCAATAACAACAATGTTTCATTACCATCTACACACACACACACACACACAACCTTTCCATTTCACTCTCTCAAAGAAATTTCTATCAAAGGATTACTAAATAAATAGCCCAATTCTTACATCGGGTCTTTGAAACTTACCAGAAGAGATTAATTCAGACCAAGAAAAAAAAGTAAAATACTTCGGTAGGAACTAAAATACTTGATCAGTTACTGTTAATTCATATAAAACGCCAAAACTACATTCTTACAGGAAGAATTTATATCTAAATAAAAGCTAATAGCCTATCAATTTAGAAAGCTATATTTTGTCTTTCCTTTTTGTTTCACCCTAAATAGGCTGCTATAAATCAAAAGTGACTTGATGTGTTTTGTTTGTTTCTATAATTTTAGGGAGGCATTTAATAAAAATAAAACCTTTAAAAGATTAACAACTTTTAATTATATTCTTTAAAAAATTATATTATTTTCTTATATCCCTGAATTCTATCTTCACTCTTGTATTTAAATAAGGTAGTAAGTTAAAAAATAATCCAAATTCCCAATAAAATGATTAAAAAAAAAAAAGCCATAGAAAGCCCCGTGAAGCACAGTTCTATCCTAATACACAATCAGAAATGGATGCAACAGCAACTGATTCCAACAATGTTTGTGTGGCAGGCCACCAACTTAGAATGCACCTTCAGTTCATACCCACAACAGTTTCCTCAGGCTGAAAAATAAGTGCCCTTTTTCTTTTGTTATTTGGCCTTAATTTCATAAGTTACAAAATATATACTAAATGATTAGGTAATGATTAGCATTATCTGTGTGAATCCCACATTGAACTATTTTCATAGTTTATTTTCTCACATTTTTCTTCCAAGACAAACCTCCTTTTCAAGCATTATCTGACAGAATCATCACTTAAGACCTATAGTTAAGTTTATTTAAAACTGTCTTGGAAATTGTTAACAACTACTCAGAAAGTTAGATATAACATTCCACTGGAGATATTTCTATATTCTATTTTGTTATTGGATACCTTTTCTTTTTCCCTTTGTTTTGGTATGGTTTTTTATATATATGAAATGCAGGATAGCTAAATATATAGAGACAGTAATTGGATGAATAGTTTTTGGGGATGTGAGGAAATGAGGAACTAATAACAAGTACAAGAAAGAAGACAATGCTCTAAAATCTATTGTAGTTGATTTTAGAATTCTTTTCATTATGTTTAAACTATTGGATAATTTGTGAAACATGACAATATGCCAACACTGTTACCTTTTTTAAAAAATCAGATACACGGATACTTTTCTAATTTATTCTAACTTGAATTAAAGTTTTTTCTCAAAAAAAAAAAAAATCCAAATTCTCTTTTTATATGAAGTTTGGATAAAAGAACCAAGTCCTAAAACCACAGGGTACGTCAAGCAGGCAGAACTAAAGATGTACCCTAGGCCCAGGCTCTGGATTTTTTGTGCATTTTAACATTAGGTATAAGTACTTACAGAATTTGATGTTTTTCTAGTGGAAGTGTGCTTAAGGTAGGGTGAAATGAAGGTAGTAAATAATGAATCCTGCTAAAAAATTTTGTTTTAATAATGGTGTCGCTAAGGTGGTATAGACCATGACACAGGTTTATACCATCAGGAGAGTAAAACCAAGAAAAATGGCACTAAGACTTGAGCATCTGTACTCTCCTAGTTAGAGCCTCAGAAACCCACTGGGGGAGTTCGACTCTGCCTTATGCCATCACCCTGAGCTGGAATTGACTCAATGGTGGAGGCTTTTTCACAAGGCTCAAGGTCTATGCGATTTATTTCTTGAACTTTCTAACAGCGCTCCAGTCAGAGCTACCATTATTACCCAATTACCGTAATAATTTGAATCATGTGTTCTTTTTGTTGCTGTGGGTGTTTTTATAGTCACCGATTTCATCAACTTTTCTGGTGTTTCAGTTATAATATTGTGGTATCTGTGAACCTGTATCAGTAACTTTTGAGAAAGTAGTAGTAATCAAAGGAAAAAGAGAAAAATTTAAAGGCTTATAGTGAGTTACTAATAATGTAACTAATAATCATGCTGTAACTCACGACATCCCTCACTGACCCATATCCTGACAGGGGACAACACTGGAGACATAGTGTAGAAATTGCGTCCCATCTGACCCCACCACACAGAGGCAAAACACTAAGAGCATGCAACAGAAACAGCAAGGGGAACAGAGTATGGAAGTCTCTAGGGAATACCAAAAATAGACTTTGGAGCCAGGGTGGGGCACCCCATCAGGCTTGACCAGAAAACACTCCTTAAGGTCAACAAACAGACTTTGAACTATGTACAGGTTTTTCCTTTTTTTGTCATTAGTTTTTTTTCTTTTGCTGCTTTGTTTTGCCCTGTCACATTTTTGTGCATATTATTATCTCTGCAGGTCTATCTAGATAAAATAGGCAGGATTAACAATCTGGAGGAGAAAATGGACCAATGGTTTCAGGGAAACATGGGAGAGGGGGAGGTGTAGGAAAGGAAGTGGTGTTCACAAACCCAGGGACAAGGGAACAAGTGATCCAAAATTGGTGGCAGGGAGGGTGTAAGAGGCCTATAGGGTTTGATCAAGGGCAATGTAACCAAGA